TGTGGGTTTCTAAAAATAAAATGGAGTACTTCTCAGCCACAAAGAACAACAAACTAGAGACATTTATAGCTAAATGGATGCATATTGAGGCCATCCTCTTAAGTGAAATAAATAGAACACACATGTAAATACTGAATAGTTTCTCTAGTGTGAGAAACTAAAAGTGTAATTAAGGATTTAATTAAAATGAATAATTGATAATTTGAAATAGGAAGGTTCAAAGGGGTAGGGGTGGCAGGAGGGGAAGGGGAAAGATTAGTTATAGGCTGGAATCTGGAAAGAATCCATATATAGATTGTTTAAAACTATAGGAAGAGATGTAGAGACTAGGCTGGAGCTCATCAGTGGGTTGGGAAGGAAGAGTCACTGAGATCAAAGGAGAGAAAGGTGTTTCCAAAAGAAGCACATGCAACTATGTACAGTACACAGTACTCAATAGTGTGATAAATGACTTACTGTTTTAGGTACTTCTCATAACATGCTGTGCTTTTCATCCTTTAGAGCATAATCCTACTTATATATAAGTTTACTGTAAAACAGTGTGCTGCTATGCCAGTGGTAGCCTCATGTATCTCGTGTTTAACTGTGTATTTGGATAATATCAAGGGGCCATCCCAGATGACTGACGTATACTTTCTCAGTTTGCACTTAAGAAATTGGCACTCTGTGTGGTACCTGGCGATACACACGGATGAAATTGCCTAATAACGTATTTCTCAGATTATATTTTCATCACGTGTCACATTACTGTATTGAAATTGAAATTTAAAAAATTTGGCCTATGTGGAGTCTACTAGCTAATTAGGATTTTTTTCCAGACCACTATTTGTTCAATGTTAGTTTTCTAAAACAAATCACATCCTTTGATGTCTTGTTAATGCTTGAGATGTTTTTTTAAATTATATGGAAAAATGTTTAAGTACTTTTTAGTTTTGCTTTGGTTGAGTTCTATTATATTTGAATATTATTATAGGTATTTTTCCCTTTCATTGCTTTTCTTTGAATTTTAATTTTTGTATATGTGTGTTTAGTGAATGATAATAAAGTTATACATTAAAAAAAAAAGTTTTAAGTGTGCTGCCAGGCATTGGTGAGAATGTGAAACTGGCAGGAATACAAACAACACATCCAATTTGGAAAATAATTGTTATCCTGTGTATTTTAGGCTCATAATTCAAATTACCCAGCATACACCATGGAGAAACACTTTTTATTGAGCCAGGAGTTGAACAGAATATTCATAGCAAGACTCAGAATGACAACAAACAGTGAGAAAAACCAGACATGTACACTGTTAGGCAGACAGAAAACAAATTGCCCTCAGTAAATCTCAGTGAATACAGTATTATGTTCATTCTACGCAAATGGTGGTTAAGAACAGGCTACTGGTCCAGCCTTCCACATGGAGTCTTAGAAACAATGCTGGGTTCAAAGGCAAGCTGGAGGACATGTACAGAATGATACCACTTTCATAACCTTCAAAAACAGTGCAACTGGACAGGGTATGTACTAGACGTGGAACAAATGACAGCAACGGGTGGATGGTGAGGCTAGGGCAGTCTCCCCGGGAAGGCAGCCAGCTGTGCCCTGGCATGATGGGGAGTTCACCTCAACACAGCTTTAGGAAACCTGTGCACCCTGGTCCTGGCATCAGCCACACCTCCTGCAGGGAGCCAGTGGTTTCCTCCATTCCAGGGCTGCTTCTGTACCTCGGCTTTGCATCTTCCTTCCTGACTTGGTCGGCAGACTTTCACGGTGTCCCTGTCCCCCAAAGATCCTGACCCACAGGAGTCCTGTGACTTCCTCGACTGCAGGAGTGACAGGATGACACTTGAGAGATAAGGTTAGGAGACTGGCTTCCATCTTGCTGGTACACTTTCTTAGTGGCCTTCATGAACCCCCTGCAATGCTGGAGAGGACCACATGGCGGGGGACTAAGGCTGCCTCCAGCCAACAGCCAGCAGCCTGTGAGGAACCAAATCTGGCCAATAATCAGAATGATTCAGGACGTGGATTGTCTCTAGATGAACCTTGATCTCAGCTGAGAGACCCTGAGGCAGGGGACAGAGCTGAGCCAGGCCCAAAGTCCTGGTGCACCAGAGCTGTGGGATAACACAATACAGGCTGTTGTAAGCCACAGGGTTCTGGGGTAACTTGTTATACAGAGCTAGGTAACCAATACTTGGCTGCCATCTACAGCTAGTTGATCTTCTCTCGCTCCTCTGCAGTCCTTCCTTGGAAACTTAGCGAGCTCAATTCATTTTCAAATTAACTACCAAATTTTGCTGAAATTATTTCAGTAGGAAACTAAAAAAGGAATTAAAGATCATGTTTTAAAGATTCGCTGTAATTTCTCTCTGGATAACATGCTATGGTGGCAGCTCCACTGCCAACCTGACTGGGCTGAGACACACGCCACAGCCTAGGAAAGCACTTTGGGTGGGGTGTCTGCTGGGTCAGAGTGACCCTGAGGACTGCACCAGGACGCTGGCCCGCTCACTGGTCTTCACTCTGCTTTCACGATGCCATGAGCCAAGCAGTCCGCTGGTCTGCCCTTTACGACGATGGTCTTGCTTTGGAGACAGCTGGGCACGGACGGAAGCCTCAGGCTGTGGGCCAAGGTACATGCTCCTCCTCATGGTGTGTCAGGGGAAAAGCTGACAGACACACCCGTATGCAATGGGTGCCATCATCAGGGGTTTCCAACTCACTTCCCACAGGGCTGAGGGCCCCGGCACCAAGACGCTGACATCAGAGCCCGCCCCCCCAGCCCCGCCCCGGCTGAGACAGCTTCCTAGCAGTATCGCCCACTTTCCAGCTGAGAACCGCAGCATGCTGTAAACAATGGCAGTTGGCAGTTGGGAGGGGTACATGCTTACGGGTTTTAGTATTTTCCTGCTTTTATCTGTAACTAAAAAGTAACTATAAAGATATACAAAATTTCTTAAGTGATCATAACTGAAAAAGAGGACTGATTCAGAAGCTACTAATTTTACTTAATGTTAATCTGACTTTTCTATAACGATCGCACATTGCTTTGAGAAAGAAAAAAATCACCATCTTTGAAGAAAAAGTACAGTATAGAATGATAATACCAATAATTAGAAAAGAATATGTTTTATTTTCACTTACGGATATACAGTACATGAGTTAAATAAAATCATGACAGGGTTCTCAAATATTGATAGATTTGACCTAACACTCCCGAGATTAGTCCACTCCCTGCAAAGCAGCCACATGAGCAGTTCAGATTTGGTCTTTGCTGCAGTTGCTGACAGACTTTACTGTGAAACGTCCGGCAGCGCTTGGATATTATATTACAGTAGAGATGAGCTAAGCATCAATATTCCACTTTTGGAATGAATGGTGCTTATTTACATGTTAAGAATAGGTAGCTCTACTCACTTATCCTACTGTGAATTTAATGACTGATTCAAAGCTACGCAGGTTTTCCCAGATATTATTTCCTTTAGCATTTCTAAAAGCAACAACTGTTATTGTTTATAAAAGATAATGCTGAAAAAAGGTAATGTTAAAATAAAGGCGCTTTTAGAAATATTTAAGGACAACAGAAAGTATTACTACTGGAAAAAAACTGCATATTTTCAAGCACAACACTGAAATAGTACAGCAGTGTTTAATGGAACTGTTTTAGAAGTGGCAATTACACTACTTTACACACTGCTCTAATATCGAAACCTTGCAATACAAGTCCAAGTACGCACAGCTTCTGGAGCATTGTTCTCCAGGAGTTAGTTGCACATGAAGTTGGTCCCTGGTTTGGAGGCTGTAATAACCAGGAAGCACTGAATTCCAACACCCTTACTGAGCAAAAACCCTGACGGGGTGAAAGCAACAGTAGCACGTGTGGAGAAGCAGCTGTGGCTCCCAAGTTCCACGTGAAATCTGGCATGAGACCCTCGCAGAGGCCTGTGTCTTGATGAGTAGCCGCCAACGAAGGCATGGAGAAGCAGCTGGCCAGGCGGGTCTTTTCCACAATGGGGCAACCCTTAAAAAGAGGCAGCTTTGGACCTTTAGCAGAGGAGACAGACTTTACATTCTTTGATTTCATTTAGGCCTTTTCAAAAAGATAAAGTATACGTGAACTCTTCCGTCACGCTCAAATGCTGGTGCAACTGCAATGGCGCGAGCTGTCTGAGGTCCAGGGGCGGCCCGGGGAACATCCGAGCCTGGCCCACAGGCCTCTTCACCCAGCCCTCAAGCCGACGACCACGTGAGACTTACACGCTCTAGCACGGGAGAGTCCGCTTATTATCAGACTTCTAAGAAAAGTCCAAAGGTGTGAGGAAAGGTATGCTTGCTAACAGTGACTGCTTCTATAATGACAATGAAGCTGAGCTAGAAAAATAATTTTACTGTTTTAAATAATGAAAGAAGCTAAGTTTGTAAAATATATTACTCATCTGCAACAGTTGATTAAGTGGACAATGAATAGATAAGATTCCTTCCATTCTGTGGGCTGGATTCAGGCTCTATTTCAATTATCGTGTAGTTTCAAATTCTAAATGTAACTGTCCTACAAGTGAAGAGACCATGGAGGCCATGACATCAGATCAATGCAGTCACACCTGCACTCAGCAGGAGGAGCGTTTTGGACAAAGGCTTTAAAAAGATCTGCACTAACGTGGAAAGCGGGTCAGTAAAGACTCCAGTTCTGCATCACGGATTCTTCCAACCCGAGCCGCTTTCCACAAACACAAATTCAGTCTATCTTTTCCTTTTGAACCAATCTAGGAGCATCAACAAAATCTTTGCCATTGAAAAGAATAATAAAAAATGTTCCAATGCTTGCAACTCCCCAGAAGAGCACATAGGCCAGAGTTTCTGTCCAAGTGTCACCTGTTAATATTAAAAACAGAGTTAGTAAGTTCCCTGACACCACATCCAGTGTCAGCCGTACAGCTCATCTTTGTAACATTCAAGTTGACCAGCACAGCCACAGGAACAATGTGAGAACCTCTCTTTCTAGGAGGGGGCACAGGACTGGGGACTGAACCTGCCAGGACCTTGGCACATACTAAGCCACATTCCTCAGCCCTTTCTGAAAATTGTCTTTTGAGGAAAGGTCTCACTGAGCTGCCAAAGCTGGCCCGAAACACAGTTTTCCTGCCTCAGGCTCGAGTGGGTGAAATTACGGGTGTGCACTACCAGGTCTGGCTAAGCTAGTATAATTACCAATTTTCACAGTCCTTAAAATTCTTCTAAGTCAATAAAAAAGAAAGTAGTTCCTTAGAAGCTGCTGGACCTCTCTTGGGGCAACTTTCCCTCCCCTCCAGAGGCTCTTTAAGTAATTTAACAGCAGGGAGCTCCCAGCAAATGATGCCCCTGGGCAATATTTTTAAGTCAGAGAGACCCAAGCAGTCAGCAACTGCCGGCCCCAGCCCGGTGCCAAGATGCAGGAGGAGAGAGGACAGAGGATCATGCGTGGTACCCACACCCGCCTCTCCTGACCCGCAGAAACTACCGAATTCTACCAGCTCTGCTGTTGGGTTCTCCACAGCACAGGGTGCCAGAGGTGACAACCAAATACCGACCTGAGTAAAGACCCTCGTCCAGGGGGAGAGCTTCACCCAACTGAAGTGTCACCCTACCAGAAACCCGGGGGGGGGGCAAGGGGGCGAGGGACACCTTGGGAGAGGTGTGCAGAGGGTGAGATGGACAGGGGTCTCTCGGAGGCCCAGGAGGGTCCCGGGGCCTGTGCACTGGGGGGTGGGGCTGAGGGAGACAGCATTTAGTCCAATGGCCTGCGCGCCTGCCCTGCTGCCCACATCCAGCAGAAACTAGTGTCTGAATGACTCGGGTCAGTGTCTGAGCGGCCTGAGAGTCTTCACGAATCACAGGCCTCTTTGCTCTGGTTCTAGGGCTCATCAGTGTCCAGTGAGCTTTGATGCCATGGCTGTTACGGACTTCTGAACTACAGTCATGGTGACACAGCTGTTGCTGTAACCAGTTTTCTCTGCATGCCAATGTCTGGATTGCCTGGGGGTCGTAAACGGTACTGTGGCCCCAACCGGGCACCAGGTCAAAGCTGTAAACCCCAGCGCAAACAACAAACAAAAAACAGGAACAGGAAAAGAAACAGCAAAATGCCTCCAAAAACTCCTAACAGGTAAGTATACAAACCATGCCAGAGAAATACAGAAAGAAAGAAAGAGAGAGAGAGAGAAGGAAACAGTGTGCTGTGGAAATCCAGAGGGGAGAAGGCGTCTGTGGGAGACAAAGGGACGGATGGCGTGGGGAGTTCTGAATGGCCCCAAGGGACAGGGTTCACCTTCACCGGGCAGACCGGAAGTGCCTGTCTGCCAAGGTGCCCTGCAGCGTGCTGACACCCAGGCCCCCAAAGCACAGGCAGCTCCAGCATGGAGGCTGCTCCTCCCTCTCCAGGCTCAAAGCTTCTTAACCTACCACAGGAAAACGTCAGCGAAATCTGTTGGCTCAGGTTCTCAGGCAATTTTACTCTCCAACTTTTAAAATTTAACAATTGGTATCTTTATTCCACTAGTTCAACAATAAATGGTTGGTTAAATAAACTACATATCCTTCAAGGCAGTCATTAAAAATGACTGGAACTTCAGAAAATGTTTGTATTATTCCATGACAAAGCAGATTATAAAAACATATAGTACCTCACTGGGAGAAAAAGAATCCTACACATGTACAAAGATTAGAGCATTAGAGTGCTGAGTCAGCTTATCTGAAAGGCAGACTGGTAATATTTTCTTGGTTTTTGCCTACCTTTGTTTTCTATAATTACTATGTGTTAGTTTGGTAGCAAAAACAGTTATCAAAATCTTAAATGAAAAACACAGGGCCGGGGATTTAGCTCAGTGGTTTCGCCACCTGCTGTGTTAAGCGCAAGGACCCGAGATTGATCCCCAGTACCAAAAAAAACCCAAAAAACCCACAAATGACCACGACCTAAGTGTGTGGCTCAGTGGTAGAGCACTTGCCTAGCAAGTTGAAGCCCTGAGTTTGATCCTCAGCACCACAAACACAAACAAGCAAATAAAACCTAATTGGTTATCAAGCTACAAGATACATATTTTTATTCCTGTGACATCAAAAGAATTACTCTTATTTACTCCATTCTTTTATTTTTTTGAGACAGAGCCTCACTATGTACCCCAGGCTGGCCTCAAACTTGGAATCTTCCTGGCTCCGCCTTCCAAGCAGGGGATTACAGGTGTCCACCACCATACCCAGCTCACTCTCATAAAACCTAACAGGTAAAACTCAAGGGCTGAGGGCTGGGGATTTAGCTCAGTGGTTCCGGTGCCTGCCTTGAAAGCACAAGGTCCTGAGTTTGATCCCCAGTACCAAAAAAAAAAAAGAAAATTCAAGGGCTGAGCGTGCTCAAAAATTCAAGGGGTTATATAGGACAAGGCCACATTCCTACCAAGGAATAAGCGTACAGATGTGAAGTAAGGGCAGACTCACCGGCCATGAGCAAGCAGATAATGCACATTGAAAAGGCAACCACCATGATAATTGGCAACTGGAAAAGAGAAGGGAGAAACATCCGTTAAGATCAATCACCAATGGCTGCACAACCTGTCATGGATACTTTTCTTGGAAGAAGAGTAAAACTCTCTACAAGCTGATACACACAGTATTCTTTGTTCCCCTGGCCCAGATGTTCTCGCATCCCAGAGCGCGTCCCAGAAGGGAATCAAAGCTCACAGCTACTTTACTTCCCACCCTGATCTGTTGGGGGAAGGCTGAGTATTTGTATTCCTTTTAGAACAGTGTATAATGTTTTTGGTCAAAGGAGTTGGCAACATCTACACCTTCAGACAACGCTTTCAACAACTTGGAAAAAAAATGAAGGTTTCTTACAGCCAAGAATTTCCAGTCCCTTGGAACACTTAAAGGACTATGAGATTCTAATTCATCCACTGAGTAGTTCCCAAGAAATAAGTCAATGGAATCCTGGAACAGAGAGAAGGAAATTAAATCCCTAAACTCGATATGGTTACGTGACTGAAGAAAAATGCAAACTCACTATCACCCAAGGACCAAAACTCAAACACGCTCACTTGTCTGAATCCATCGGAGAAATTGTTCTTGTAGTAGCGGATCAGTGAGTTCCAGCCGTCCATCATAAGTCCCAACTGCGTCCTCTTTCCCGTTCTGGTTAAGAGAGGTTCACTATTAAAATGGAAACTTGCACACTCCACTCTCAAATTGTTTTATGGCCAATATGTCACGGGAATAAAGGAGTTACAAAGACGTTAAAAATCATCCTTGAAAACAGCCATTCTACAAATGGAGTCACCAGCTGTTCCAAGAAACAGGCACAGCGTCCACGGAGTGTTGTCCACGTCTGTGGGTGCCCGGGTCCTTCTGTGTAATGGTGCAGTTCCCACAGCACCCTCCTGTGGACCGTACACCATCTTTGGTCTGAATTTCTGGTAAACAGTTGTTATTTAGGGGATGACAAGGAATAACATCTGTGTATGCTCAACCAGGGCACAATTTTTGTTTGGCCATTTTTTTTTTTGGTACCAGGGATTGAACTCGGGTCCTTGTGCTTGCGAGGGAGGCGGCGGAACCACTGAGCTACATCCCCAGCCCTGTTTGGCCTTTTTTAATCCATGGTTGGCTGAATCATAACCATACAGATATAGAACCCATGAACACAGGGCCAACCGTAAGCAAGGACAAAGAGAAAAACAGTTCTAGCTACAAAGACAAGAAGTATGAAGAAAAACTCAGTACCGGTTAAGTGGTACGAAACCGCAGAGGCTAGGAACAGTATTTGGGGCCCAGGGAGTCCATAAGTCTGTACAGGAGGAGCAGGAGACCCAAACTCCCCAGTGCCAGGTCCACAGCATTCTAACTCCTCCCTGGCCAGCAGCCTTGAATGAAGCACCAGCAGCACCCGAAGCTCTTAGAGGTACAGCTCGCAGGCCACACCCAGGCCTGCAGAGCCGGGCACACACAAAAGTTCAAGAAGCACCGCACAGTCCTGAGTCTCTGCCCTCTGTGCACCAAATTCCCGGGGAGTTTAAGGCCCCACTGGTGCCGGGGCCCCGTCTCCCAGCACCCCAAACACCAGTGCTCTAAGGCACTGCTGTGGAACACTGTTAAAGGGGCGGCTTGCCTGGTAAAGTCCGTCTTCAAGGCACCGGTTCCCGCATACTGTTTGGCACAAGCATTTGCGTTGTCAGCCCAAGCTATAAAAAAACAGTTGAGAAGAGCTGGTAATTAAAATGATAATCATATGGCCCGGGGATTTAGCTCGGTGGTTCCGGCGCCTGCCTCGCAAGTGCAAGGTCCTGAGTTCGATCCCCGGCACAAAAAAAAAAAAAAAAAGATAACCATAGTTCTAAATAAAAAACATTAATTTATTTTTAAAAACTGACCAACTCTCCCTCTATTAAAGAAATCACCTACCGTTTTTGTAAATCTTCTCAAATTCATCTTGTTCTTCAAGCTTCTGTCCCACATGCAAAACTCCTAGTCTCTAGAATGAGAACCACACCCATATTTATGTGGGACAGATTTCGGCAGATGCAACTTAGCAAGAGAAAGCCAACAGTCCCCAGATCATCACGTTTCCTGGCCGCTGGCCACAGGGCCCTCTCCCAGCCAGGACAGACAGCAAAGCCTTTCCAGAGGCTCCTGGGCCACGGCGGGAGCCCCAGCACCACAGGGACGACGGGGTCTGCAGGCCGGGAAAGGGCAGCAGGGAGAGCGCAGCGCTTGTGGAGTGTGAGCTGCCACCTCCTCCTTCCTCCCACCTAACCTTTTGCTGCCTTCGCCCCTTCTGGCCTCCTCTTGGCTCCTCATCTCTAGGTGTCCTCACTCCTGAGCCACCCACCAGCCACACATCCAAAAGCCTGGCCCTGCCCTGTGTCTCAGCCCATCAGCTCTCTCAGAGCTGCCATCTTTGCTCAGTGTCTTCCTCAGAATGAGCTGTTCCACCCTCAGCCACCGCAGAGCCACCCTCCTAGCTTTTAACTGCGCAAAAACTCTGTCCTCATTGGTAGAAAAATGTAACTGAAGAGTCCCCTCACTTGCTGGCAATGCTGCTCAAGATCTGGCCAGAAGGTTTCCTAACACTGCATTTAGCATGGAAACGAGTAAAACACAATTACAGAACCTGCTTAAACAGGCTTTGGTTAGTCAGCCATGGAACCAAACCACTCTTCCATTGTTTCTACTGAAAAATGAACCTCAGGTCTCCTCAGCAGGCTGAGGGGGCAGCAGAGTAGAAACCAGAGCCTGTTGTAAACTCACTCCTCGGTGGGTATTTTTTTAGGATTCAAGAACAGTTCATCCCAACGGAGGTATTTTACCTCCACAATTTCCTCCCGGTACCGTACCATACATTGTCAGAGGGAAAGCTGAATGCTCATTATCTAGGCAGCAAACCATCTGAGATGCCCTTTTGCCCCTCACCAAAAAATGCCAATGTGACTTAGAAATCTGGGTTGTAGCACATTTTTAATTGCAAATAAAACTAGGAGGTATTTATACCTTTTCCTCATTAGCAAATCAATCTCACTGGTAAAACAAAGTTGTGTCAGAAACATTTTACCTGGAAGTTAAATCTTCTGCCAGTAATAAAAGATGCAAATGCAAACAAACTTGAAGTACAACTTTGTACTATTAAAATAGGAAAAAATTGTTTTAAATAAAAATATCTAACACTGGCAAGAGTTCAATGAAATAGATTTACTTATTCTTTGCTGACATCACTGCAAACTGGTACAACCCTCTTGGAAAGTAATATAATCTCTTTAATACAGTATTGCCAACTCTAGAATTAAGTCAAAGGAAATAATTCAAATTAATAATAAAAACAGATATATTCTCTACAGTATTATTTAAAAACCAGGCACAGCAACTTTACTGGCTTAGTAAATTATAGTGCAATACAATCATTAAAAAATTATGATTACATGAGCCGGGGATTTAGCTCAGTGGTTCTGACATCTGCCTTGAAGCACAAGGTCCCGGGTTCGATCCCCGGTACGAAAAAAAAAAAAAAAAAAATGATCACATAAATGTTAAAAGAAATGCAAAATTAAAAATTGGGCATCCACATTCTGACCATGTGCACAAAATGATGGCCACGCACAAAGGAGAAAAGGGTTAGGACAGGTGGGGCAATAGGAATGTTTCCTTCTATTGGTTTTCAAAGATAAAAAGGTCATTTTCTGCCACACTGGTTTTCAATGAAAGGGAGAAAAGGAATTCGCACCTGAAGCTGGACCTGAAGTGAACGGCGTGCTAACAAGCTCTGGACCACGTTGGTTCTGTCCAGACAATCCATGCAATTGCTTCGGAACACACCCTCCTGGTTTGTCATCACCTTGCCAGCAGAGTCTACTAGAAAATAACTAAAACACATTTGTATAAACACTCTCATACCAAAATAGGTCAGGCCTACTAATGACACACCTCTGAGAGTGTGGTCTCACTTCAGTGCCATTACTAAAGCCTGTAAATTACAAGGCCAGACAGGAATGCATGTATAGGCTTATTGTTTTTACCCTATACCACACAGAATTTTGGCTGAGGCAACACAGCCCCTATCCAAAACACAGCTGTGATGTTAGAGGCCATTCCACCTAAGAGAACTAAAAATGTAAAGATGGGAGTATTGTGAAGGTTGCTACGGATAGCAATCATATTTCCCAAGCCAGAAGAGATTTCCCTGAACACAATTACTTCAACTACACCTGTACCTATCAGGATTTTCTGGTCCCTGTTCAGTCCATATCAGAATCTCCAGGGTAGCTTGTTAAAAATGAAAATTCTTCACCTTGAGATCAAGTGCATCAGAATCTTCTCTGAAGCAGACTAGTTAACATACATCAAAAAGAATTGTTTCAGTATTGGGGATTGAACACAGGGCCTTCACACTGAGCTACATGTACAGCCCATTTTTAAAATTCTGAGATAGGGTCCTGCTAAGTTGCCCAGGAGGCTTTGAATTTCTGATCCTCCTGCCTCAGCTTCTGGATTAGGGGGTGGGTATGTACCCACATAATAGGCTCCTCTTCTTTTTAAATGAATAACACATACAAATAGTATAAAACATAAAAAGTACACCCAGGTATGATCTGAAAAATCAGTTTCCCTTTCTTCCCTTAACTAGTCAGGTATCTGTGCTGCAGCCAACCGTGGTTATCAATAGTTCCGAAGTTTTCTTTAACAAGCTTCTCAGGTAACTCTTTGAACTCAAAAATTTGACAATACTCAGTGTAGTAAACATATGGACTCTGGTAAACAGTAAATAATCTATTTGCTAGACTGGTACTATAGGCAACTTCCTTCCTAGCTGTGTAACTAAAAATGAGTTCTTTCATCCACAAAATGGAGGTGATGCATCATCCTTAGGTGGCCTTAAGGCATTATGCACAAGAAAGTACTAAGCAGAGCGTGCTCAGCAGAGTGTGAATACTAGAAAACACCAACCCAAGCGGCCCCCACAGCCCTAAGGAAGGAGGATATGTAGTGCCTCTGTCAAGGGCTAAACAGAAATCATGCTCCTGGGAACAAGAGCCCAGAAGAAGGGATTTAGATGAAAAATTTACTTCAGGTCAAAGAATTCTCGAGGTGGGTTTAGAGGTGGCACGCATACACGTACATGCAGGAGTACACATGTATGTGAGGGCACCTCATCTGTGCCCATAAAACAAACACTAGGTATCTTGTAAGTATCACTTCCTAAACTGTACAGTAAATCTGTTAGGTAGATATTATCTCCTCTTTTACACATGCAAAGTTTGAAGACAATCAACAAGCCCCAGGGCCACATGCCTACTGAGAGAAATAGATTTAAACCAAGATACTCAGGCCTGAAGGCCCAGATTCTTTCCACTACCAAAGCCCCAGTAATAAAATGTCCTCGAGAGATTTGAAAGCCACAGGTCAAAGTTCCAGTGTTCCTGGGCCCACAGTGAGCAGCAGTGGACAGACTCTGGTGCCAATCTTCCTTCCTTGTTACATTCTTGTATGACCACACTTAATGGGGAATCCTCCAAGCCAGCTGTCTAAAGACATGCCAGACCCAGCCATCGTTTTCTCCAACAACTCAACAAAATAGGTCAGGCTCCCTTTACTTGTTATTCTCATGGTGGAACCTCACAAAAAAACTAGGTGTAACACTTTCCCAGCGCCTTGAACCACCAGTGGTACATGCACGACTGTCCCATTGGGCAGCTTATACCACCAGATCCAATCACTTTCACTGATACAAAGCCCTCCAATAGGACAGTCACGCACGCACCACCAGTGGTTCAAGCTGTCCACAGTGACACATGAATTACGGCCCCACAGTGAGTGTGTTAACTGTACTTGGTTACTTTACTGAGCAAATGTCTATCGGAGAGGTTTTACTATATAACTATGTAACAAAAACTGTTATTTGAGATGCCAGGATTGGAACTATCACACAGGCAGAATAAAATGCCAGAATGATTTATAGATTCCTTAAACTAAGGAAGGCTAACATACGCTTGGGATACAGCAAACCTGTGAACCAAAATGATAAATAAAGCAGAACATATAGAAAGCCCCACAAAGTGTTCAGGCCTTTTGCTCCGTCCACCCTACTCCCGAGTTGCTCCCCAAGCTGAGGGCAGGTAACAGAAGTGAAATGGTGTATTTACACGTACCCAGAGAGATCTACTGTAGGGCGGCTTTTCATAGTAGGAAGAGAAACAGAAATGAAGCAGATACTCAGAGTAAAGGAAAGCGTTTAGTTAAAATGATGCTATGAGTGACAGAACACAGAAAAGCCACTAACACCACCATCAGATCAGGTAGGCTAGTAACAAAATACCCACGACCAAAAGGTCAGTGAAATGTGGGAACATAAAGAAGTGCTAAATCAAGTTCAATTACTGGTATGTGAGAATTTGTAAATGCGTGAAAGACAATTTGTAATATAAATATACCTGACCTTGTCACTTTTAAGAATTTAGAAATATTTTTAAATCACCAACTCTCATTTTTCCAATAAAAAAATGTTAAAACTAATATACACAAGCGATGACAATCCAGTGAACTTCCGTAAATCTGCTAGATAATATATAATAGGACTAATAGACACACATATATCCCCTTCCCTCCATAAGAAAATAATACAGCTTACCTTAATTCATCTTGCATTTCTGCTACCTGGTCCATTAAAATACTTAGTCGATCCCATCTCATATGTCTGCATTCCTTATGGAAGTCAAAGGCAATGTATCTACCGAAAAAAAACATATTCAGAAATCAAGAAGGGATCATTTATTTTCTATCAATTCCTTCATGAGCTGACCTGCCCCATCTCAGAGCACACACTTCTTAGGGGCACGACAGCCACCCTCACTCTGGGCTTGCCCCCCTTCCCCACCTGCTCGTGATCATAGCGATGAGAGATCCACATCACATATGTGGACACACACAGACGGACGCACACACACACACACACCTATGCTCACTGCTCCCCCAGGGCCCTCACAGGAGCTGAGGAGAAGCACAGCACACGAGGGGGAACGGACTCAAGGGTGTGGAGGGGGCTACTCCCGCTGTCTAGGCTGTGACCCACGCGCACAGGACAGGCTCATGCCTTTGTGTGGCGTTTTAACTCAATACACTCAAACTGGCCAAACTCACGGCGGCTCAGTCTGTGTGCGTGCTGCACACTCGGGCTGGGAGAGTCCAGAGGTAGGCCAGTCCCCATGGCCTGAGCAATGGCCTTCCTTACAAAACCTCACCTTCCTTCTCAGTGTCTACACCTTGTACAACTGTGTGGCAGAGGTAATTTTCTTGTCAATCTGCAATGAGCTTTTTTTTTTGTACCTGGGATTGAACTCAGGACCTTGTGCTTACGAGGTGGGCTGCGGCACCACTGAGCTAAACCCCTGGCCCAGCAATGAGCTTTTAACAGTTCGCTAATATGTAAGAGCCACAGGTCTATGCGCTAGGGTGTCTAGGATGAAGGTGCTGTGCCATGAGATTAAAACACTGCTCTTCAGAGGGGAACAAAGCTTTGCCAAGACCTGAAAGTCAAGGGACAAACTGTGTGAGCATCGTGACACATACAGTGCCCCATCCACTGCACTTCTCCCTCCACCCCAAGCTGAGTCTGAGCAGCAGCATGCAAAGGACAGGCACTCTGCCCTCCCACACAGAGAAGTCCGGAGGAGGCAGCACCTGCCCTGTGCATGGCTCAGGGCGAGGCCACCCACAGGGCTTGGGCCTCCAGGACGTCCCGCCCCCGCCCCCACCCCGGGGTACCTCAGGCGTTGGGGTCACCAGGGGGAGCGTTCGCAAAGGCAATTCCAGTAAGAGTCCGGTAAGACAGTGCACCGACCAGAAGAGTCGGCTCTCGGTTTAAAGAACTATGCAGATATATGGTGTTAATCAAAATGAAAGGGTTTTTTTGTTTGCTTGGTTGGTTTTTTTGGCACTGGAGATCGAACTTGAGTCCTTGCGCTTGCATGGCAGGCAGCGGAACCACTAAGGTAAATCCCCGGCCCTCAAAGTGAAAGTTTTATACCTACCTACAGTCAGTAACACTGTATTGTACACGTAAAGATGTGTTAAAAAGGCAGATCTCGGGCCGGGGATTTAGCTCAGTGGTTCCGCTGCCTGCCTCCTGCCTCACAGGCACAAAGACCCAAATGTGATCCCCGGTACAAAAAAAAAAAAAAGGGCAGATCTCATGCTTCATTTTACCTCAATAAAATAAAGGGAAAAAAAGAAAAAATCTCAAAACCAAACAAAAAGAATCCATGTAGTTCCTTAGCATCTAAACATACTTATATTCTTAAGCTTATATCCTGTTCTAAATCACATTTATATCTTTTAAGAATAAGTTGCATAGCTACATTATAATTTATTTTATTTTATTTATTTTGGTACCGGGGATCGAACTCAGGTCCTTGCACTTGCGCAGCAGGCAGCAAAACCACTGAGCTAAATCCCCGGCCCTATAATTTATTTTAAATACATTAGTTTACTTCTGAACCCAAAAGTTGCTTCTCTTCATGTTCTGAAACTTAGAAACACCTCTCACACAGTTCCTGTGTTGCCAACAGAGGAACTTTCCATGCTAATAAGCCCACTGCTCTTCTCTGTTTTAGCTCTTTACTATCAGGGAAAAAATCATTCTTAGTTTGGTCCTGATATTACAGATAAAATAGGAATGGCCACGACTTTTACTTCCAGTCTTTCATCAATTCATTGACTCAATTCACTCAAGTAACAACTTCAAAAGCTAAAAGCTAAACAGTACAATGGCTGTCTCAGGGACAATAATAAATCTACCATTTGACTTTAAACCCAACTTGCTGGTTATTTTCCCTGGCCAGAATTTATATTAAGTTAAAAAATCCAAGTGCATTTTTTATTAAAATCCCTTTTCTAGTGGTCTTTAGAACTCACAGAGGGAAAATACATTAGCTTTGGTCACTCACTTTTTAATAAGTGACCTCCACATTCCCAAGAGCATCATAACTTCAGGCTCTAATTTAGGCCTTGAGTTCTTAGTCAGCAGCGCTCTGGAAGCAGAGTACCTACACAGGCCCTCTGTGGTACAGGTCCTGAACTGAGGGGACACAGAGGGGTCAAGGGGCAAACTTTCTCCAGCACACACAAGCTGGACTCCAGCCCTAAGGATCGGATCTCCCAGATTTGATGGTCCAGGCCCAGTTTAGTTCCTCTAAAGTCTCAGGCACAGGCTGGTGGGAAATCCCTTCTGAGTCTCCCATAGTATGTGTGGGCCCCGGCAGAAGTGCATGTGTGGATGCAGTGAGGATCCAAGGAATTAGCTGGAGCTTCTCAATAGGGCTAGAAAGACTGCATCATCTCCAAGAAGTCTACTGTTCATCTTTGTGTATGTTCAAGCCAGGACCACTGCGGAGTCCCCAAATGCCCATGCCATTCCTACCACAGTTACTCCTTTTCCCCATTACTTTACACCTCTGACTTGGGGTACACAGTGTTTGCAACTGCTGCCTGGTGAACTACAGGATGGGCAGAGAGCTGCTCCAGGTAAGGCTACCAGGGAGAGCTCCCTGCTCCAGCCCGTGTGGGAGTCGGCATCACAGAGGCCACCATGCCGCCATGCCAGTCTGATGCCCACTGCTCACGAAGCCACAGGGACAGAAAGCCTTGAGGGGGGATTTTCTTCTTTTCTGGTACCAGGGATCAAACTCGGGTCCTTGCGCTTTTGAGGTAGGCAGCAGAACCACTGAGCTAAATCCCCAGCCCGAGGGGAGATTTTCACCAGGGACTAAACTCAAGAGTTACTCTGCAACATGAATTCTGTCAGTGGAAATATCAAACCAACAACAACAACCAAATCATGCTTTGGTCTGGTATTGAAATGAGTGCAAGCAGACGCTGGTGTAGTGAGCTCTACACACTCGTGTATGCATGCAAGTAAACATCTGACCGGAAAAGAAATGCAACACACGCCTAGCAGGGTACCTGATCATCCCGTTGCCCAAGGAAGACACCATGGTTGCAAATGCCTGTTCAAGTGGCTTCTCTGAGCCCTTCTGGTTTACCTGTAAAAAATCCAAAACAGCACGGCTTTCAGTTTATTTCAAGAGAGGGAGTGAGCGAAACCAAGCAAAGAGCGTGCAGATGCTCCAAGGTTTATTCTGGCAAAGCGGGAAGGGGCAAACCTATGCACAGCTACCTGGGAGGCCCGGGCAGAGACAGTGCAAGTCAAGGCCAGCCTGGATGAAGGAGCAGGACACCACCTCAATCAAAGTACAACACAAACCAGAACTATCTGAACCAATTCTGTAGGAACTATGGAAAAAACCAAAGGTCTACAGCAGCCAATTAGACAGCCAATCAAGAGAAAGCCACCTTCCCAACAGCAGGCGAGCGCTCTGGAATTTTCACTCATTCTCCCTTCCCCACTCCTTCCAAGAAGATGGCAGAAATCTTAGCTCTGCTCCGATCGTGGAGCAAGGGGAAGCAGACCAGGCCTTGTCTGTGCCCCTCTCCTCTAACCCAAAGGACCAACTCACTCATCTCTGTCTTGAAAGACTGAACACAGGTGGGGAAACCCCCGACACTGCTCACAGGAGCCACAAGAGGACTTCGGACCACCAGACGCCTGTGGAAGAGACTCTGGATGCAGACATGCACAGGCGATCCAGAACCTGCAAAGGGTGCTGGGTGCTACTCTTCGGAAAACAGACTCTCAGGAGCGGCTTGTATGGGGAGGAGTTTTGAAGGCCACCCACATACCCAGGGAGGATGCATGCACAGAAAAACCTTCCCAGCAGGCTGCTCCTTGCAGTGACCCTGGCTGACCAGTGAAGGACCTTGCCAGCCAAGACAGCCTGCAAAGAATGGGAAACGGTACTGTGCTCTCATCTGTGTTTTGTTCACTTTGCTAGTGTTTTAATTTCTAGAATTCAATAAATCTGTCAAAAACATTAGCTAACCATAGCAAAAGAAAAGAAGTAAATAGTGTTTGCCATAGTTGTCTGGAAAAGCCTCCCAACCAATAGATTCCTATAGTCTTCAACAATCAAAAGCAAAACAAAACAAAAAATACAACAAACCCTGGGGGAAGGGAGAACTCTTGATTTTCAGAATTATCATATTATAATAATCAAATATACCATTTAAAAAAAAATCGCAAGCCAGGCATGGTGTCGAACCTGTAATCCCAGGCCTCAGGAGGCTGAGGCAAGAAGATCACTGAATTCGAGGCCAGCCTGGGCTATTATAGTGAGTTCAGGGCCAGCCTGAACTACAAAGTGAGACTCTGTCTCAAAAATCCAAAAAAACAAAACAAAACAAAAATCACAGGCACAAAAAGAATCAGGAAAATACTGTTCATCCAACGGAAAATCAATAGACAGAGCTGTCCCTGAGGAAACGAAGACATTAGGCTTACTACACAATGACTTTAAAACAATGATCTTAAATATCCTCAATGAGCTACAGGAAAATATAGACAAAGAACTAAGGGAAATTAGGAGACGATATATAAACAAAATCAAAGTATCAACAAAGAGATAGAAATTACTCAAAGGGACCAAACGACAGGTTAGAGATGAAAAGTACAAAAACTAAAATAAACTGAAGGGCTGGGAATTTAGCTCAGTGGTTTTGCCGCCTGCTGCAAAAGCGCAAGGACCCAAGTTTGATCCCCAGGACCAAAACATAAAATAAAATAAAAATTAAAATTAAAAAACCTGAAAACTTCAGTAAGAGACCAACAGCAGACCTGAATAGGCAGGAAAAGAATCTGTGATCTTCAAGACATAAAACCTGAAATCAAACTGAGGAAAAGCAAAAAGAACAAGGCCTGGAGATGTAGCTCAGTGGCGCATCACTTGTCTGGCATGTATGAGGCAAAAAGAAAACAGAATGAAGAGAAGTGAACAAGGTTAGCAGACTTCTGGGACATCTCCAAGCTAGGAGGAAAAAGGGGAGCAGAGAGATGATCTGAATGAAAAAGTGGCCCAAAACTTTCCAAATTTGATGAAAGTTATGAATCTTCAAGTGCAAGAAGTGCGCTGTATTTCAAGAAGGATAAACTCAAAAAACTGAAACCAAAAACATTATAATTACATAGCTAAAAGCATAGAGAGAAGAGACTCACCACCCACAAGGGAGGCCTAATATAGTTATCTTTGATTTTGCATCAGAAATCTGAAAGGCCAGAAGCCTATGGAATGACACACTTAGCAAGCTGGGGATGAGCCTGGGGATGTGGCTTGTAGTAGAGTACTTGACCGGAATGCATATGGTCCTGGGTTCAATCCCCAGGAACTGAAGAAAAAAAAAAAGCTGGGAAAAAATCTCAACCAACAATTCTATATTTGGTAAAACTGCCCTTTAAAAATGAGGGTGATCATTGGAGGAAAGATAGCCTATTTAATAAATAGTGTTGAAAAACTGGATTTCAACCTGCCAAAGATTAAAACTAGACCCGTATCTATCACCTTGCACTAAACTAAGATCGAAGTGGATTAAAGATCTAAATATTAAGACAGAAACATTAAATTTGATGGAAGATAAGTTAGGTAGAACTCTTAAAGACACTGGCATAGGAAAAGACTTTATGAACAAAACCTCAGTAAGCATGGGAACTAGCACAAAGAATCAACAACTGGGATCTGATCTTATTAAAAATCTTCTGACCTGCAGGAGAAACCACCAACAGAGCTAAGAGACAACCGAAAATGTGGGAAAAAATTTTTAGCAGCTGTACCTCAGACAAAGGTCTACTATCTAGAATATATAAAGAACTTTTAAAAAATCAGACCCCCCAAATTCAAAGACCCTATTCAAAAATGGGCATCTGAAATGAACAGACATTTTTCAGACAAAGAAGTAAAAGCAGCAAATAAACATATGAAAAAATGTTCAACATCACTGGTTATTCGAAAGATGCAGATGAAAACAACACTGAGATTCCACCTCATCCCAGAAAGAATGGCTGCTATCAAGAAATCAACCAATAACAAATGCTGGCGGGGGTGTGGGGAGAAAGGAACCCTTCTCCACTGCTGGTGGGAGTGCAGACTGGTGCAACCACTGTGGAAATCAGTATGGAGATACCTCAAAGAACTAGGACTAGAGGTCCCAATTGACCCAGCTATCCCCCTGCTGGGTATCTTCCCAAAAGAATTAAAAGAATCATACCACAGCAATATATGTGCACCCATGTTTATAGCTGCACAGTTTGTAATAGATAAAGCTTGGAAACAGCCCAAGTGCCCATCAAATGGAGACTGGATAAAGAAGATGTGGTTTTTTTGGTTTTTTTTATAAAATGAAGTACTACTCAGCCATAAAGAACGAGAAACTAGAGACATAGCTAAATGGATGTACATTGAGGCCATCCTCTTAAGTGAAATAAATAGGACACACATGTGTAAATACCGAATAGCTTCTCTAGTGTGAGAAACTGAAAGTGTAAATAAGGATGAAAATGATTAAAATTAATAATTGATACTTTGAAATGGGAAGAAAAGGTTCAAAGGGGTAGGGGTGACAGCAGGGGAAGGGGAAAGGAAAGAAGGGAAAGGAAAAATTATGAGAAAAAGAAAAAACAGAAACAAAGTCTTTGTAAATATGGAAGGGTGGAGGGGGTGAAGGGAGCACAGGGAATGGGGAAAAAATAAGAACTAGATGCATCATGTACAGGTACAAGATCCCAACCCAATGATAAATGTAAATGTATTGTATACCTAAAATGTACCAATAAAAGAATTTAAGCAAAAAAAAAAAAAATGAGGGAGAGGGGCTGGGGATTTAGCTCAGTGGCAATGCACCTGCCTTGTAAGTGCAAGGTCCTGAGTTTGATCTCTGGTACCAAAAATAAAAAATAAAAATAAAAAAATAAAACTGAGGGAGAGCACTAACCCTGCCCCATGATTTCTTTTCCCCCTCAGTACTGGGGATCAAATTCAGGACCTTGCACTTGTGAGGCAGGCGCAGTGCCACTGAGCTAAATCCTCGGCCCTAACCTATGATCTTTTATGTAAAAGACCCTTAAAATATCCACAAAAAAAGCTGTCAGAGATAATTCAGCAAAGGTGCAGCACACAAAAGTAATCAGTTAATTTCTATATAATAACAATAAAAAATTCAAAAAGGAAGTTAAGAAACAGTTTCATTTACAAGAGTATCAAAAAGAATACTCAGGAAAATTCAGTAGGAATAAATAATAAATAATCAGGACAGGAAAAACATGTTCACTAAAAAAATGTAAAAGACATAAAAAGTTGAAAGACATTTGTGTTCATGGAGTCACAGACTTAAAATTGCTCAGATGACAAGGCCACCAAAAGTGATCTGCAGATTCAGTGCAATCTTCATTAAAACCTCAATGGCACTTTTTGCAGAAATAAAAAACCCTCCTAAAACTCAAATGGAGTTTCAAGGGACTCAAAATAGCCAAAACAATGTTGAAAAGAGAAGGAAGAAGTTGGAGGGACGTCTCTTACTTACTCATTTCAAAACTTGTAACAGAGGGCTAGGGAGGTAGCTCAGTGGTGGTGCATCTGCCTGACAAGTGCAAGGTCCAGAGTTCGATACCAGCCCCAAAGAACCCAAAACGAAACAACCAAAAAACCACAAACAAACAAACAAAAATTTACTATAGAGAAGCCACAGCAATTAAAATATCATACAGGGACAAGGACAGGGCCCAAAATTAACCCTTATGTATATGTCCAACTCATTTTTTGGCATGGATGCCAAGACCATTCAATAAAAGCAACAGCCTTTTTGACAAATGGTACTGGGAAAATAGGATATAGACATGGAAAAGAATGAAGCTGGACCCGTACCATACACCAGATGCAAAATTAACTCAAAATGGATCAAAGAACTAAATGTAAGACTTAAAACTATAAAACTCTTACAAGAAAATACAGAAGTAACTCTTAATGATGTTGTATTTGGCAGTGAAGTTCTTGGATATGGCACCAAGACCACAAGTAACAAAAGCAGGCCGAGGATTTAGCTCAGTGGTGCCACCACCTGCCTCGAAAGCACAAGGTCCTGAGTTCGATTCCTGGTACCAAAAATAAATTGAAACCTTTGTGTATCAAAGGATATTATCAAAGGTGAAAAGACACGTAAAGAACAGGAGAACATATCTGCAAAGCACTGATAAGGGCTTAATACGCAGAATACTCAAAGAATTACAGAAACACAACAGAAAACAAGCCGTCTGGTTAAAATTGGGGAAAAGGCTTAAGTAAAAAATTGGGTTTTCCACAAGCCAAAGATTGACCTGTATCTTTCACCATGCACTAACCTAAAATTGAAATGAATCAAAGATCTAAATATTAAAACAGACACACTAAATCTGCTGGAAGAACGCTTGAGGACACAAGAGTAGGCAAAGACTTCATAAACAAAACCCAGACTGCACAGGAAACACTACAAAGAATCAACAACTAGGACCTCATCTCATTAAAAGGCTTTTGTACAGCAAGAGAAACCACCAACAGAGTGAAGATACAATTCACAGACTGGGAAAAAATTTTACCGCTATTCAGATAAAGGACTACTATCTAGAATATATAAAGAACTCAAAAAACCAAACCTCCCAAATTAAAAAAACCCATTACAAAAATGGGCATCTGAAATAAAAAAGACCTTTCTCAGATAAAGAATTTAGAAAGAGCAAATAAATATATGAAAAAATGTTCAACATCACTGGTCATTTGAGATGAAAATTGAAACAATGCTGAGATTCCATCTCACTCTGGAAACAATGGCTGCTATCAAGAAGTCAACTAATAACAAATCCCGGCAGGGCCATGGGGAAAAGGAACGCTTCTCCACTGTTGGTGGGAGTGCAGACTGGTGCAACCACTGAGGAAATCAGTGTGGAGATTTCTCAAAGAACTAAAACTGGAGGTTCCATTCAACCCAGTTATTCCTCTTTTTGGTATCTTCCTGAAAGAATTAAAAGCATCATACCACAGTGACATATGCAGACCCATGTTTATAGCGGCACAGTTTGTAACAGCTAAATCTTGGAAATGCCCATCAACTGATGAGTGGATAAAGTAGATGTGGTTTTTATATACAATGGAGTACTAGTCTGCCATAAAGAAGGATGAGCTTCAGACATTTATACCTAAAAGGATGGACCTTGAGACCATACTCAAGTGCAATAAATCAGACACTCATGTTTAAATACCACATTGTTTCTCTGGTACGAGAAACTGAATGTGTAAATAAGGACTGAGATGTATAATGGATACTGGGAAACAGAAAGAAAGTGTTCAAATGGGAAGGGGAATAAGGGAGGAGGGAGGGAGAAAGGAAAGGACAAGAAAAAAGTGAAAATAGAAGGAAAAAATAGAGACAAGGGGAGGGGAAGGGGCTTGAGGGGGGAATGGGATAAATAAGTTTTAAAAATCTGGATAAAAAATTTTTCCAAAAGAATACACAAATGGGCACACACGATAAGATGCTTATTGTCAGGGCCGGGGATTTAGCTCAGTGGTTCCGGCGCCTGCCTCGCAAGCGCAAGGTCCCGAGTTCGATCCCCAGTACCAAAAGCAAAACAAAAAAAAAACAACAAAAAAAGATGCTTATTGTCACTAGCCATTAGAGAAATGTGACCCAAAACTACAAGACGCTGCTCCACACCAAGCAGTGTTGCTTTTAACAACACCACAAAAGCAAGCCAGGTGTGGCGGTGCACTCCTGTAATTCCAGCCTGTGCCAAATGGATCACAAGTTTGGGGCCAGGCTAGGCAACTTAGCATGACCTGTCTTCAAATTTTAAAAAATGAAAGAGAGAAAGGGAGGGAGAAAGAGCTCAGTGCAGATAATGCCCTGGGTTCAATTCCAAATTCCAAGACAAAAACAGAACATATGAACAAAATAACAAGTGTTGAACAGGCTAGAGAAACTCGAACACTGACTGGTCCCTTTCTAGTGGGAATGTAAAATGGGGCAACCAGAGCCGGCATAGTGATCCATACCTGTGAGCTCAGCACTTAGGAGGCTGAGGCAAGAGGATCTCTGAAAGTTTAAGGCCAGCCTGGGCTACATAGTGAACTGAACTACATAGCAAGATCTTGTCTCAAAAAGTAAGATAAAATAAATTAAAATAAGGCAACCGCTGTAGAAAACAGCAGAGTGGTTCCTCAAGGCATTGAACACAGAATCGCCATATGACCCAGCAATTCCACTTTGACATATAAACCTCAATGAAGTCAAGGCAGGACTCAATGGATACCTGCGCGTCAGTTTTCACGGCAGCAGGACTCACAGAACCCAAAGCTGGAAATAACCCAAATCTCTGTCAACCACTAAATGAAGAAACAAAACAGTGCTGTACTTACACTAGAAAATCACTTGTGTTTAAAAAGGAATGGAATCTAAACACGGAGAAATCTCTAAAACATCACACCCAGTGAAATAAGCACAATACAAAAGGGCACATTTTGTTATTTCAATTTTGTGGGAACCTAAGACAGGCAAAATTCAGAGCTAAGAAGCAGAACTGGGCTGGTGGGAGGGTGATGCCGGCAACTTGCTGTTCCTGGGTAGAGTTGCAGAAACAGCAGAAAGTGCTGATGACGATGCACATTGTGAAATACTTAACATCACTGAATTGCAAACTTAAAAATCCTTAAAACAGTAAATTTTCTGTTAATTTAAAAAGGTTTTTTAGTTCCCCTCCCAAGAAACATGCAAGAAACATACCAGATTGATTATGACTTGTTTTCCATAAATAATTACTTGTGAATCAAAATGCCTTTGGAAGCCATCCATCTAGAACAGGAAAAGGATATTATTTACTTTTTATATTATAGGAATATTTACAACATTTGTAAAAGTATGCCCCACATGTCCTATTTCTGTACTTAAAAGAATGGTGTTAGGCTCTTGTTGCTTTTGCTGCTTCCTGTCGCCATGGACTGCTGCCCTTCTGCCATCGTGCCTGGGAGCCAGCCAATTATGGACTAAAACCTCTATGAACCATAAGCCAAACCAACCCTTTCTCTTTAAAAAGAACGGTATCAGGTAGGAATCATGTCTTCTATGTAGTCTAATACCATGTAGCAAACAGTAACGAAAAGCCATTTCCCTCTGAGCTACAATATGGAATATATGAAGCACTCTAATGACAGCGTAAAGTTGCGGGCCTGCCTGAGGCCCTCTCAAATCTGCGCCTGCCGCCCCACTCCATCAGCCTCTCTCCACACTTCTAAACTGCCAGCTATGTAGAATTTGGGATTAAAGGCTCACAGTGGGTAGAACCCAGGAGAAGGCCCGAACAAACACATGTCCTGTGCACAAACTAACACGCCTGGGTTCTATTTTTAGCCAGTGAAAACGGCAGGGAAGATACACACATGATTTGCTACTTTGTTGATCTGTGGCAGTGGTTTGTACTTGAGGTTTGGTCTTTGGGACCAGAAAACAGGTATTGATCCTCGAGTCTAAAAGAAAAAAGAGAAACGTGAAAAGAAACCCAAATAAATTTTGTTTTTCTGAACTTACTGTCAGCAGTACAGATATTAATGGTCACAATGAAAAAAAAACAAAACAAACTACACGCTCTGAAAGAGTACATATGTACCTACTTTTAAGGTTCGTGTTTTATGGTAATAGGCTCAGAAAGAACTTTTCCTGTTCTCCAACTCCGCATCGGGTGACAGACAGGACCACGGCCCTCTTCCCCACACAAACACAAGCGCAGCCACCCTCCCCCAGAATTGTGAAACAAATTAAGTTGGTAAACCGAGGTACCACTGTATTATCTATTGTAATTTAGTGGTATGAAAAATTAGAAAATTGCTTCTCATTCTCAAAGGAATACCTTTACGAACATATGAGCATTTTGGCCATGAACACCAGAGCAGGAAGTGCCTATGAGTCCGTAAGGGGGCAACCAAGGAGAGGTATTACTGTACTTCCTGGAAGTGCGAGGCAGGCACAGCCAAGCATGGCATCAGCCCGTCCTGTCTCCGTGGGCCTGGAAGTTCTGCAGAGCTAAGCAGGGGAGGGCTACATTTCCACAGCCTTCATACCTGCTCTCCCCTTTAGGGATTCAATTTAAGGGCAGGAAATGCCCGCCAGTGCCAGACTAATGAATGGCAGTGGACTTTTTTGGAGTGGACTTTTCCACACTGTAGACAAAGATATTATTTAAGAAAGGAAGGGAAGGAAACAAGACTGAAAAGTAGGATCATGCAGACAAAGCCACCAGATGGACTAACTCACCTGTACAAATGAAGCCCTGCTCCCATTATAGTGCACAATTTGCTCTGTTTCTACAAAGTTAGCTGCATGGCCTTCAGAATCAATTCCTAAATTGAAAAAATATTAAGTTAATTAGATTGTGTACATAAGAAACACCAGAAACTCACTAACTCAGGTTAACTTGGTTCAGATTAACGGAAAAGTACTGTACTTATAAAATTAAAATTCAAACAAATGCATAGTACATGCCCAGAAAACTAATGCAACCTTACTCATTTAAACAGGCTTACAGGAGCATTAGAGGGCTGCTAGTAAACAGGTGTAGTTGGCTGCTATTTCTTATAAACGTCCTCTAAAACAGGGCTTAAGCTTGAGGTGCCTTTTAAATAAAAAAGTCTTCCCAAACATGTCCATAACCCTACTTTGAAAAATATAATTTTGAAAGTTAAAAAATTATCACACTTAATAACAACACAATATTAAATGCAACTGTATGTAGCCCACTATGTTAATAGTATTTACTTATAGGGCTGGGGATTTAGCTCAGTGGTTTCACTGCCTGCTGCGCAAGCCCAAGGACCTGAGTCCGATCCCCGGTACCAAAAAAAAAAAACAACAAACCCCCAAAATAGTATTTACTTATAATAATGCGAATGGTGTTTAGAAGATGTTTAATTTTAGTTATCAAAAAACTGTATGTGGTCTCAGAACATCTATTACTCCGGGAATATGCCCACGAAACCTAGTCTGAAAAGCGCTGCTCTCAAGTGTTTAAAAAGACTTGGTGCTGGTGAGTCCTTTCCAATATCTGAAGGATTCCCTTACGAGATTGTTTACATGATCTATTTTTACAAAGAAAAGTTTGCTAAATCAAAACAACTTTCAAGCTAGTTACTGATCCAAATTACCAAATTATCAGAGGGAAATCGATGGATTGTGAAGTCCCAAAAATTTATCACCCTTTCTATCTGCAAGCTCCCCTGAGGACTCAGACCCCCAGCAAACCCTGGGTCCCTGTGGAGCACTGAGACAGCGGCCTTGGGGGGAGTCACAGCACCACTGGCAATGTAACTGCACAAGCCAGGCCTAACTGCTACAATGGGCACAACATCAGTATCTAGCGAGGCTATAAAATAATAATGAATACAAAGTACGAAAGGTGACAGCCATGTCACTGTAAGACAAATGTTAATCAGTGACAGATGTGACCCAGTACTGACCCACACCGGAAGCAGCCTCACCTCTGACATAGTAGCGCACCCCAGCTCTGAAACAACTCCTCCTAGAGATGAGGATCCAATCGAAGTACTTCCCATTGATAGAACACGAGTGCATGTTAATAACTGAACCATGTTAAGAAAAATATAGCATGTACAGGTGCATGTATTATTGCTAGATTCAATCTGAATTTTTACCCTAATGAGAATGAATCTTTAAGAGAAAAAAAGGATAGAGAATATGAGCATCTTTAGGGTTCTTCATGAATATTCCTAAGACTGCAGCACCGTAACCTTCTCAATTGGGAAGTTTTGTCAAGCGAGCATCCCTCCAGTGCCACGGGAGCAGAATGCCTAAGCACTTCAGGACAGTGTAAGTAACACGGTTTCCCCCTTTCCATGGTCCTCTCTTTAAAAGCATTAACCATATCTCTACAGAACCTACTGTGAATGGAAAACACATTTAAAATAGACGAACCTTTAAGAATGAAGGGGTATGGACGACTGGAGTCAGAGAAGGAAACCTGAAACCCACTGTGTGTGCACCTGGCTCCTCTGCTCGCCTCCAAGCAGCAGCTGCCGTCTCCTCTGCTCAGCGTCCTTGCCTGTGCTTCTAGCTTTGCTACTAAGCAGGCTACTGTTTAATCTGAGCAGCTTGAGATTCTTCCATGATAGTTCTCTTTCCTTTATTTCCCCACTGTGTTCCTGAGGCTCTGCTGCTGCTGTGTCACACACCACTCCCGTGTGAGTCCGGCTTCTCCGCTCTCCTGCCCACAGACAGGGAGGCCGTGACTCCAGGGATCAGAGGCGGGCAGGTGGGCGGCACACACAGGTGGGCCTGGCCCTGAGCAGCAGCACTGCGGTCCAAGGACCAGCACCATCATGTGATGTCACAGCAAGCGCCAGACGGCAGAGTCCCTCTGGCTCCTCACTCTGCCAACACCTGGCACTGCCTGCTTCCTCACGTGTGCCGGACTGGGGAGGGCCATGAGAGGAGGGCGGGTTTGTTCTGCTGTTTCAGTGGCCATCCTCTCCCTTCCTCATTTGTTTGGTTTGTCTTATGGTTGCTGTCTGTATGTACCATCTTTTTCTTAATACAGTAATTTTATTCATCCAATATAAAGCATGCAATATAAAGTGAGTATCTACGACCCTCCCAAACAGTACCAACACCCGAACCCGCCTGCTCCTCGGCCCTCCAGTCGGCCACCTCAGCTCAGGTTCGCAGAGACTGCCCTCTCTCCAGCTTATAGCACACATGACTGAGACGTGAAAGCACCTAAGCTGCCTCGGAGGTTACTGCAGTGGCCGCACAGCGCTCACACACATGCACCCCCTCCTGTGAGTGCCCAGACACCCTGCCTGCAGGAAGGTCCCTCCTCGCAGGACTGGGGCCCACACTGGCACAGACCCAGCTCTTCGCTGGTGGAACTCGGGCTTGGCTTTGCTCTAACACATGGCAAATTCACAAGGAAACGCCAAGTAAGTGCCAAGCAGTGGTGCCAAGGACACCGGCTGCAAGGGCCGGGGACTCCGCCTCGCTCACCTGGTGTCGTCGGCTCACTACTGGCTCCCTGACAGCACCAGAGGGGATTCCAAGGGGATCTCTTTATGGGCTCTGGCAAATTATCTCTTCTAAGCCAGGTCACAGAAATGAGTAGGACAGCCGCCTGCTGTATGGATGGATCATCTTCCACCGGTTACAGGACAAGCACACACACGGTAGACTCTGAAGAGCATGCAGAACACGAGGAAAATACAAACACTAACTTCCGTCACAGGGAGATAACCTGTGTGTGCATGTGCTGCTGGGGTTAAACCGTAGGCCTCTGCACTGAGCTCCATCCCAGAGACAGGGACCTGGTAAGTCACTATCCTCCTGCCTCAGCCTCCCAGAGTGCTGGGATTAACTTTCCTTCTCCGGACACTGGTTCACACATTCTCGACCTCCAACATTCCTGTCACCCCACGTCCTGGTCCACCACAGAAGCATGGAAGTCCCCTCCACGCTCCTGCCACAGCACGTGGGCAGCAGCACCGACGCTGCGCGGACTCCTGCTCCCTGGGCCAGGCCCCCACCATGCACAGGTCTCAGCTCCCTCCCTCGGCAGCGCACTAGCGAACACTTCAGTCTGCCCCTGCGCAGGTGGGGACAAGGGAAGAGGAGAAGGAACAACATCTTCCCCGGCAGGCAGCACGTTCAACCCACCTGCGGCTCTCAGACACCGCCCTGTGGACTGGCTTCCTTTTCCTGCTGGCCTCTGCTGGTTTGTCCTCGTTTCGCAGAGCGATCCCAGAACCTGGCCCTCTGCTCACTCATTCTGGTTCCCTCATCCTCACTGGGTCACACTGACCCTTTCAGACTCTGAGCACCATCGTCTTCAGGAGCCCTCTGCACTCCGAGCAGCTCTCCGCCATCGGTGCTTCCATCCCAGGCACAAAGCACCTCTGCCTGGACACCTGCAGCTCCCCTAACCATCCAGTGTCGCCCTGGCTGCGCTTTCCTTAGTCTCCGCCTCCCAGTATGAACCTGGCTTATGCTAATTCTCTCTCTACTCAAATCTCCCCCAAAGCTTCTCTTTTTTTTTTTGGTACCGGGGACCGAACTTGGGACCTTGCGCTTGCAAGGTTTTTGTATTTTTGCAGTTCCCAGGCCTTTGCACGGAGTCATATACCCAACTCTTTTGTATTTTTATTTTTTTATTTTTTTGGTACCGGAGATCGAACTCGGGACCTTGCCCTTGTGTGGCAGGTGCCGGAACCACTGAGCTAAGTCCCCAGCCCCTCTTTTGTATTTTTCAATTCTGAGATAGGATGTCATCAAGCAAATTACCCTGGCTGGGCTTGAGCTTGTGATCCCCCTGCTTCAGCCTCCCAGAGTGCACCACTCTTTCTGGCTTCTCAAGATCTTTAAAGTAAAAGCACCCGTTCCCTCCCAGGGCCTGCAAAGCTCTGAACAACCTGGGCACAGCTGCTTCCTGACCACGGCTCTTCCTGTTCCTGCTCACTCCAGGCTCGCTGCTGCCTGGGTTCAGCTTGCTGAGCTGTGTGTACATGAAACATGGAGCTGCTTTTCTAGTCAACAAGCTACATTCAACAAAAGCACAAAACACACTTAAAGCTTTAAATTTGAAGCTTAACAGGTAAACTTTCTAAAACTGTCTAGAAAAAGTAGTTTTGCAACCTCACTTGATACTGCCTATTCACTGTCTCATTTTGAAAACAAAAACAAATGGCCCAACCCTTTAAGCATTAATCATGTTTGTTCTTTTATCCTCAAGAGCTGTGGACACCTTCCGGGAAAGGCGGGAGACAGATGCAGAAGAAACAAGGCTTTATCAGATTCTCTCACTCTCATGCCCTCGAAAGCACGCTACTCCCGCTATCTCCTGCTTTTAAGCCGAACCAGGATAATAATTTAATAAGACCCCGATAGCACAGCGATTAACACATCCATCCGATTATTGTGTCACAAGCTTCTGGGGCTGCGTGATGAAAGAGATCCTGTCCTTTCCTGTCCTGAGGGATGATCCTGATCACAGGCTCTCCTCAGCAGATGCCGACCTGTTCTTTGAGAGCCAGCTCTCCAATAAAGCTTCCTGGCCTTTATTAACAAACCTCTGATGTGACTGTGTCTTTAAAATGAACCTACAATTAGGTAATCGTTACTCATTCGGTACTTGTACTAGGACTGGATTTTCTCCAAGCACTATTCTTTGTACTCTAGCTTCACTTTCCTATCACTATTCCAAATGACAAGTACAATTTCTAACTGTGCTTCTCTTCAAGTTGCTGAGTTCCCAAGTAAAACCTTTTAATGACTAAGGGAAGGTCTCCCTTAAACAGCCAGATACACTCTACTCTTGGGTAGATGACCGACACAAAATAACATTCCTTTTCTTTAAACCACCAGCTTCAAAACTGTTTAGGCAATAATTTAGTCTGAAAGTTCATTTTTTAAATAAAACAAAACAAAACATGGCTGCTTATATTCAGTATGCTAAGATTTCACATCAATAAGTTTAATGCTTTTATCAGCAACAACTTCTACTGACCCCAAATACTCTGTTCATGCCGTATTTGAGACTGTCTACATCTGCCTTACAAGATTAAGAGAAAGACTGCTTGAAATTAAAGAATAATATCGTGTAAGGATACAGCCATGTAACACCGGAAGAGCAAACCGATGGACCTGAAATGAAGACACATATTTAGAATAAATATACATTAAAATAAATAAATACAGCAGCACTGTATATAAGTACATTACACATAGGGAAGTAATACACAAACAGAACAAAGTAGTAAGCTTACTCAAAACTTTTCTTTTTAAACAGACATTTCTGGCCAGGGATTTAGCTCAGTGGCATTGTGCCTACCTCGCAAATGCAAGGTCCTGATTTCGATCCTTGGTACCAAAAAACAAAACAAAGAAACAGGTATTTCTAACATTACATTAAGTATGCAGGGTAACCATTGGGGTGTGAATATTCAGAATTTGGAACACTAATTAAATAAACCACATAAGGTTGCATAATGTTTACTTCCCTCCATGGTCTTTGCCTACAACACTTCATACCTTCCAGGAAAGGATTTTCCATGTTAATCACAGCTCAAATGACTTTTCCAAAAAAAAAAAAAATCACAGCAAATGACAATAGGTGGATATGCTGGTGCATGCCTGTAATCCCGGCGACTTGGGAGGTTGGGGCAAGAGGGTCACAAGTTCAAGGCCAGCCAGGGCAACACAATGAGACTGTGTCTCAAAATTTTTAAAAAGGGGACTAGGGATGTAGCTCACTGGGCCCAGTGTTCAGTTTCCAGTACTGCTCCCCTCAAAACAGAAAGCACACAAGTCTATTTCCCTGGGTTCAATGCACCATATTTTCCCTGCACCAAGGCTCAGCAATGTTTCCTTCTGTGAGGCTTCCACAGGTGTCGGCTTTGGGTCACCAGCCAGGCAGCATTATTGGGAGGCGGGGCTGAGTGGAGGAAAGCTGGGTCCCTGCGGGCTGGGCCCTGGAGGAGACACTGGGACCTGAGCCAGGCCTCTCTCGGCTTCCCATCCCCCAGGAGGCAAGCGGCTCTGTTCTACCATGCTGCGCTGCCGGGCCACAGCCCAGAAGCACGGAGCTAGCCGCAACCTGGGAAGCTGGAAGCCAAGTAATATTCCCGGAATTGCATCACAGTGATGGAAAGCTAACATAACAGGAGATCACAGTAAACTATCAGGCTTCTTCAGCCTGCAGGGATGGGTGGGGGTCGACCTGGTCAGAATCAGAATTCTCATCCAGATCCCGGGTGGCCAGGGAGTCTCCTGACACTCGGGCAGGGACAGCAAGCAGGCGCTCGTGTCCGTTACCTCCGGCTGCGCAGACAGCTCTCTCAGAAGATGACCGTTCCAGACGAACCGCTGATCTGCCTGAGAGAAGTGTGAGACTGAGTCCAGTATCTCCTCCACACTGAGCCTCTCAGGGAGAAAACCCCCGCAGCGCTGTGCCCATCGGGCGGCTGCAGGTAGGGTTCTCGGGCGAATCCACCCACCCAGGAACTCCACCCCCCTCGCCCTGCTCCTGTCTCTCTGCCTCACCCACGCAGGCCCCGGAGTCCTCTAAGAGGCTGTCTCTCCCATCAACCGATCATCGGGCACTAAATCCCCCCAAACCCATGCTCTGTCTCACACTTCTCCTCCCTCACCCAGCCACGATGGACCCCAGCCTGCTCCTTTGAGGGTGTGGGTCAGCTTCCCTGCCTGGGCCCCCAGAGCTAAACAGGGGGTTCTCTTGTGGCCCAACTCATAATGGGTGACAGAAACCTTTTAAATTCTGTCTATTCCCTAAACATAGCTATGGCTTGTTAATTCAAAAAAAAAAAAAAAAATCAAGACAGCAACTACCAGGTTCCTGAACCACAGCAACTTTTGGATGAGAGCACACCAGACCTAATTTTTAAAATACATTCATCTTTAAAAAAAAAAAGTACTTGGATATTTTTCAACTTCTTATATCAGACTGTTACTTTTCTAGTTAAAATATAAATACCATCTCTGATGAAATCAACTGCTGGAAAATTGATTTTTATAAGCCCATTATGTCAAAAACAATATGGAACAATGAGAGCTAAGAAATTACAAATGAATCCAATGCTAGTTTGAAGATCTGACATCTCAGACTTAGTACTTGGTAGCCTGGTAGTATTTATTCAAAAATACAACTCTCAAGGTTTTCCTCTAGTTAAATGTTTGTGTGTTTGCACTCAATTTCTGAGTATCTACAACAACGGTTCTCAATTTTGTCTGTGTACATACACGGATTCCATGGCCCTCGATCTGGAATTTGATACAGATTTGAATATAGTCCCAGGCACAGTGGTGCATGCCTGTAAGCCCAGGTACTCAGAAGGCTGAGGCAGGACCAGCGGAAGTTTGAGAACCACCTAGGGAACTTAATGAGACTCTGTCTCAAAATAAAAAGTACTGTTTGGTATGAGGCCCTGGGTTCAAACCCAGACCTACAAATAGGGAAAGAAGCATGGTGTGTTCTCAAACTCCCCCCACATGATCCTTATCCTAATGTAGCCAAGAGTAAGAAAATTCAAACTCATGGATGCAGCATGGCTCAGGGGTAGAGCGCTTGGCCAGCCAGCATGCGTGGAGCCCAGAGCTCCACCACCGACAGGGAGGAGGGTCAGTGACAAAAACTGATACAAATTTGTGTGTATGAAAAATAGGGCTGGGGATTTAGCTCAGTGGTTCCGGTGCCTGCCTCCCAAGTGCAAGGTCCCCAGTTTGATCCCCGGTACCAAAAACAAAAGAAAAAAGAAGAAAGAAAAAGAAAAAGATATGTTCCTTTACAAAAATAAATCAAAAAAGAAAATGACTGCAGATGAAGCTTACCCTTTCCAAGAGACTCATTTCTTGGAACTCTGGGCTGGTATTGGACAGCCGCTGCAAAGTGTGGGTCAAATCGTAGGTTGCAGAGAAGTAAAATCCATCCACACTCAGGACATTGTTTAGCATCGCTAGGAACGTTTTATTGTCTTGTAACTGTAAACAAACAAAGGGGGGGATCAGTTTCTCATAGTTGAAAGGAACTCTGTTAGCACGAAAAGAGTAAAAAACTGGAAACATGCAACAACCCTGTTAAATACCACAGGCCAGCAAAGGGGACAGCTCCTGACCCACACAGAACCCACCCCACCCTACAGATGTGCTAGGGCATTATCGTTATCTGAGGGCCTGAGTGGGGCCTCCTGCCTTCTGCTACCCTCCCCCATTCTCACTCTGCAGGGCAGGAGAGCTATCGTAATGAAAAAGTGGCACTTCCAGTGGTAACCTGTGTGCTAGACTCTCATGACAGCCCTGCTTGGTAAGAGCCGTTATCCTCATCTGGCAAATGAAACAAATGCACGAGGGGCCCAGTGACACAGACAGCAAACAACAAAAGATTAACATTATCGTCATCTGCAAGAAACTGTACTGGTTTGGGTTGGAAAGAAAACAGAATTTATTTTTCTTTAAAACAAAGGTTAAAAAAAATTCCAGTAAAACCAATAGTCACCTTTATTTTTCGATAATAATCTTAACTGGCTTTCCCAATGAATAACAAGATGACACCGGTTTTTACCCACGTTTTAAAAGTAACTGTCAATATCTGTTAATGTTTGATGATTACCAAATGATTAACATGTCACAAACCTACATAATACAAATTTTTAATTTGGGTTCAGACATTTCTAATATTTTCCCCGAAGGCAAAGGCAAGGCACATGCAGTGGGCAATGCTCAAGTCACTACATGTCCTGACAACAAAGCAGAACAACTGCAATCACCAAGTAAATATTCCTGGCTGTTAAACGGATACAGCCATCTTTTTTTTTTTGGTACCGGGGATCGAACTCAGGTTCTTGCGCTTGCACAAACCACTGAGCTAAATCCCTGGCCCCACAACTTTCAATTTTTAGGAAGCAAACACTGCAAGTAAAATTACTCTGGAAGAAAATAACTCTCAATAGATGCCTGTAGTCTACAGCGATAGCACCCTGACCATGCCTGATCTTATCCATAGATGTCTGTAACATAACGCTGAGTGAGAAAATAGGAAGTTCTGAAAACCAGACCAGGACAGGCCCATGTATGCAAGTCTTACACACGTCAGGTGAAACAGGCACCGCTGGGGTGAGCAGGCAGCGCTTCCCCCTCTCGCAGTGGGGACTGCAAAAGCAACCCAGCCAGTCTCGCCTCGGCCATCGCGAACCGCCTTGATAACTTGCCAGAAAAGTCAGGACTCTTCCATGGCTTTAAGTTTTGGAGTTTTTTGGTCAAAATATTAAAAACTCTCTTAAGTGATAATTGCACAGGGAAATAAAAAAAGTAAAACTAATTTTTGGTGCAGAATCATGCAAAGCATTAGAAACATGAGGATTTAAAACACTTCATCTCTCTGTTAAGGAGATGTGAACAGAGCCTGCCCTCCTCTCCTCGCCACACGCCCCCTGCTGTGGAGCACCCACTCTCCCTGCTGAGCCGTCGCCACTATCCAGGGCCAGGCCGGCGTCTGACCTGTCATCTTCGCACGTCAATGTCAAGGGCTTTGCAGTGGACCCTCAAGTTACAACTGGCCTGATGTACGAATAACTTGGTTTAGTTTTAACTTATGACCAAAGTCTTGAGTTATGACCCAAATGCCAGCCGCTTGTGCTCCCAGATGGTCTCAGATACAGATTTAATCCTTAAAGAGAGTTCCGGAAGGGGACTTAGCTCTGTGGTGCCACTGCCTGCCTTGCAAGTGCAAGGTCCTGAGTTCAATCCCTAGTACCAAAAAAAAAGTTCCAGAAGGAACAATACAGCATCCTTTCCTGTGTGGGGTTCACTGAGAAATCCTGGGCCAACATCTCTCCAACGACAGAGATCTGCCTGTGTACAGGAGAGAGACTCTGAAGGCTGTGTAGAGGAGCCTGAGTCTTCACTGACCAACCTGAGTTACAACCAGCCCTGGGGAACAAGTTGAGTTCATAAGTCCAGGGTCCACTGTACCATGAAGTCGGTGGCACAACTTCCTCCCCTCTTTCTCCTTTTTATCATGGCCACTTCATCATCGATGCTCACTCACTACGTTCCCCCTCACCGCCGACAGCTGGCTGTGTATCTAGGGTCTCTTCAATAGTGACAACGCTAGCGACTTCTGTGCTCCATGTATGTTCAATCTCAGCTTCACTTCCAAAGGTGGCATTTTTTTCTTTTCATGTTTGCTAGGTTAATTCTTCACTCAACAAACCTTGGTAAGTAAAATTTAAACTGTGCTGTTGGGGAACTGGTGTTAACCAAATCAAACAACTGAAATTTATGTATAAGAATCAGGTAAAAGAGAGGACCAACTAAAACATACTCTGCACACACATGTGCACACATATACACACACGTGTTAAGTGTGAAGAAAACTTCTCAGGGCAAAGAATCAAATAAGTAGAACTTTAAAAGCTATCTAGTATTTTATTTTTCTATAGAGAATATGAAGTCAAATCTGGATGTTGAGTAAATGTATATTTCATTCTTTTCTCCCCATAAGAAATTTCGTAATTTAAGAATTTATTCTTAAAAAATCCCCAAACCAGCCAGATACAGTGGTGCATGCCTGTATCCCAGCACTTAGGCAGAGGCAGGAGGATCGCCACAAGGTTGAGGCTAGCCTGGGCTACACAGTGAGCTCAGGGCCAGCATGAGCTATAAAGCAAGACTCTGTCTCAAAAAAAAAAAAAAAACAAAATCCCAAAACCAATAAAATATATGGGCAATTTTAAAGATATTTTTTATGCCTGGGTAGAAAGTCAGATAGAATGACCTTACTTAATAATGAGACTTAACAGAAATCCACCACACTTTGTATTCTGCAACCCTGCCCAGTGGTATGTCTTCGGCTTTTGCAATTAATAATGCTGTCCAGTTCTTACCTGAATATCAGTTAAGTGCAACATGGTCTTCTTATAAGAAAGAATATCAAAATCTGTTGCTTTCCAGATTACATGATTGAAAAATTCGCCTACTTTCATCTTTTTGGTAATGACAATAAGATAATTACCTGGAAAAAGCACAGTGAAACAGACAAAGATACAAAAATTGGTAGAGCACCAGCTTAAGTTCAAGCCAGAGCAGCACCACCAAAACAAAAAACAGAAACAAAAACCTAGAAATCAGAAAAAGGATCACCTTGTAGTACTCAGATAAAAGGCCCACTTTTTAAAAGTAATCTTACAATTTATGAATACAAAAACTAGTGTACTATTTAGAAACATTCCTATGAATGATCAAAGTTCTTCTCAAAAAGATAAAAACAAAACCTTCTTTTCTGGTAACCAAAGAAGTGAGTCATCTTAGCTGGCAGGACGAAGAGAGAAAATGCTTCTCCTGCCCTCCTGCCCCAGGTTCTATTTCCAGCACGCAGACCGGCCACTACCATGCCACTCCAACATTCCCTGCACCACTGTAATGTGGAAAACCGTGCTGGGCCACTTCTGCTCACCAGCTGCTGCGGTCTTAGGAGGTGAGCGGTGCCTTAGGGTTTCATTTAGCAGGTGTGATGGCACATACTTGCCATCACAGCACTCCAGAAGCTGAAGCAGGATCACAAGTTTGAGCCCAGCCTGGGCAACTTAGTGAGATCTGGTCTCAAAATAAAAAACAAAAATATGGATAGGGACAGCTCAGGGAGAGGACCCTGGGTTCAGTACTGAGAAAAAAAAATTATTTAAATGCTCTTAGAATTTACAGAAAAATTCTACCTAATTAGGAATTTTAGCTCTAGTTGAAATACAACCAAACATGAAACTTTTCTTTTAAAACAGAATCCAGGCTAATAAATTTAACCACTTGGGGAGTTAGAAACAATAATAACAAATACAGAACCTAGAGATTTTTGCCTAAAGCATTTCTTAATTTCACAGTCTAATGCTAACAGTCGATTTAATTACCTTCTCCGCCTTCTTAGCTAATTTTCTCTTACCTGCCACCAGATGGATTGTGCCCAGTATACCAAAAATTGGTCTTGTGACAGCTGAAGGAGGAACATCCTTCTTGACTAAAGAAAGAAAGATCAGATTAAAAAACGCTCACAAATAGAAATAAAATTTAGGTTGACTTCAAGTTACTTTAACTAAATCAATATGCATGATTTCTCTACAAAAAAGTAACGGTCCTTCATTAACGTCAGACCTCCAATTCATGGAATGCAAAATAAAGATGACCACCCACCGTGCAAAGGCCTCTACCTGTCTAGAATACGGTGTCAACAGTCACACACTTCAGGTTACCCATCAGGTAAACTGTAGGTTGCTTCTAATGCCAATTTTCAACCAAATTTATTCACCCTCTTGCCAGGAACTAGGTACTTATCTCTTTAGGAAAACTAAAGAATAAGTGGAAGTGAGGATTTGAGACCAGATTTTCATCTTAACATGCAACTAACAGAATGCAAACAGAGACTTGTCTACCCACAGCTGCGACTGTGGGAAACACAGGCACCAAGGGAGGGAGGAGAAGCAGCTTAACCAGGGAGTGCAGGGAGGCACCATCGCTAACACTACCTTTGTCAATGATGCTCTTGTTAATACAACAGCCATCTCACCAGGCTCCTCTCACAATTCTTAACCTTTCAGCCAATAGTTCACAAAACACAGTTTGCAGAACTCTAGTTTAGAAAATAATGCCGCACAGGGAGGAGGGAGATTTTACAAGTAAGCTTCTTTAGCTTCATCTCCAGTGACCTCTACTCCTCGACAGAGCCATGATGTACATTAGGAGAATAAAGGCCTAGAAAGCCTCCACCAAAGAGAGCTGACCCATTGTTAAATCCAAGATATCCCAAGGTTATGCTGCTGGAAAGCTTTTCTTTCCATTGCTGCTTTTTATCATCCTGAAATCCATTTTCGAATCACTGCTGTAAACCCAAGGCCTGGTTCTTGAATGTAGTTGTGACAGTAACTCTGGAGGTCTAAAGTCCCTTGGTTTTCTCTTATTAATCCCATGTAGCTATACTCGGACACAACCAACTCCCAGGAGGAAGAGGAAGACCTGTGCAGAGAGTGTTCCGCAGGTGCATCTGACTACCCTAAATGTACCACTGAGATGGCTGTCAGCTACGGTAACTCAAGTAGAGCACCGATAAAACCTGGATCACTCCTACAGTACATGTTGGTTTTTCATGAAAGAGAAAAGTCCTTCTTTCCTTGGTGCAGCCTGCTCTCCCTGGGCTAAGAGGAAATGGCTGAGCAGCAAGTGCCCTTGAGCTCCCTCATCCCTGACTCTGGGTCCAAGTGTTGTCCCTGGGGCTTCCTGGTGAGGACTGGCAGCACCACTTTTACATCCTAACTACTCCCGACTTTGTTGTCAGTCTACCAAGATGGGTCTCCAACCTCTACCCACAGGTAAAGTGTCACTGAGAGGTCAAGCCTGACTGAAAATGCACCCACACTAAAGCTCTTGGGAAACACGAGCTTCTGTCACCAAGGGAAAAAGAAGCAGTAATTAAACTAATGGTGTAATTAAACCTTAGGAGTCGGGTACTAGGCTTGACTAAAGCAAAAATCAGCTATGTTGAGAGCGGCCACCAAGCAATAGGAAAGACCAACTTATCAAACTGACACAGCCCCAGGGCTGGGGATTTAGCTCAGTGGTTTCGCTACCTGCGGCACAAGCGCAAGGACCCGAGTTTGATGCCTGGTACCAAAAAAAACCAGACTGACACAGCCCTAATTCCATGTCATCAAAGGAAAACTGTCTGCGGTACCTACAAAAATAATGGATAACCAAAAAATGGAAATTTTAGTCACCTTACCAATCACAGACGTATTTTTACATGTTACTCCTCTGTTCAGAGGGTATTTGCCGAATGCCTGCTCTATGGTGACTCAAACATTAAAAAAAAACCACATAACTCTGGTGGTGAACTAGAATTTTCAAACCAAAGAAATGAATTCTAAATATAGTGACAACATCATATGATCATTAATTTGTCACCATAATTATTTCACATAATCTATTTAGGAATCAGTGTTCTATAAAACTGAAAAAAAAAAATGTTTTTCACATCCCTGAGAAGCAAAACCAAAGTACAACTGGACAGACAGACAATGCTTAGGGGCATCATTTGCTCAGAACAGTTAAAATGTTAGTGAAGTGTTATTTATCTTTTATCTATTGAATTATCTGCCAAGTCATAAAGAAATTCCAAAACAAAAATAAAGCAGCTGTTAAAATTCCTTCCACTTAAAGCTGAAACAGTTTTTTGGCAAATACCTCAAATACTACATCTGGAAAGAAGCTTAGACATCTAAACCAATCCTGTTAGAATATAAAGGAACAAAGAAAGCACTTTCTAAAGTTATTAAAGGATACAGATAGTACAATGCTACCTAAAATTTTAAAGATCTTTTCTCCTTTTCATAAAAAGAGCGCATAAGATCAAATGAGGCAGCAAGAATTAAAATCCTACTAAGAAGGCCCTCAGACCCACACCCAGACCATGGGGTCATTATCTGATCCATACACGAGGCCTCGAAGCCAGAGCCGGCAGCAAGCTGAGCATGCAGTACCTGCGAGGGTGACCTCTGTGGACACGCGGTCAATCGTGAGCACGTCATCTGCTCCGTCATCACAAGCTTCCACATAAAACTTTTCAGGTGTGATATGTCTAGAAGAAAACGGAAAGGCATAAACAACTGAATGAAATGAAGATTCCCCAAAGAATGTACTGTAACAATGACGCCAGCGGTTTCATTTTCCTGGCTTCTAAATAGAGGAGGCTGGTTAAGTTCCCCGTCCTTACCAGTTTACTGCAACTCTTATTTGCATATTTAATGCTGACATGGTTTCAATCCGCTATAAAACCATTAACTTAATTTACACAAGAAAACTGTAACTGAATCTAACTCATTATATTTAACCTTATGCAGAAGCAGTGCCGAGTAGCAGCAACAGTCTATATATAGGCTATGTGACCTCAGAGCGTTACTCATCCTCTCTGCTCCTCCCTTGTCTCCTAGAAGAAAGATAACACAGACCCAGCAAGCAGTACTGACGTTTTTTGTTAGAAAGCTGCATGTTCCCAAAAAAGACTCATTCTGTAAAAAACAGAACACAATACAATCAAACAAAGGGAGTAAGAATAGGGCTGGGACTACTCCAGATGTGTGCAACTTGTCCCAAGAATCTAACAGAAATAGAAGTTGGCTCCTCCAGAGGCAATTTAGATAGCTCAGGTAAGTAACTGGGCATGGCTAGAGACTGGCTCAGAAATAAGAACAATGAACCGAAACCATAATGGGAAAATGTGGACAAGACAGACTGAAGCGCGGTTAACACTACCGTGAAGGCGTGGAGCAAGGCCAGGCAGAGAGGCTGGGCTCAGGAACTGTCCCCAAAAGCTAATCTTTGCTGCTCACAAATGAGAGCTGGAAGAATTTCGGTCTGTGCTGAAATCCTTTAATTCTACTTCCACTACTCTGGCTTGCCTACTCTATAAAAAATCTTCTATTAAGCCACACAGCCATCACTGACATCACTTCCTGTTTACCACACTGTACTATTTCTGACTGTAAGTTCTCTGAGGAATACTCAGCCCTTGGTTCTCCAAATGTAACACACCCTTTTATGGTTCATCAGTAAGAACTTGTTAGTATTAACCAGTTCCCATCATTAAAGGTGCTACACTAACAAATGTGATATTAAGTGAATTACTGTGTAACAAAGAAAGCAAATCTGTTTCAAGTATGGCAAGTCTTCGACTCAAACTAAATGCAAGTTCATTTCTTTGCTACTAAATACATCCTATCTGTCTATTCTTTCACTTGCTGAGAGAAGTTGCAGTTGTTTCTGGTTTGGGGTTGTTATGAATAAAGGTTCTCCTTATGAATTAAGGCAGACGTGCATTCACTCCTTTGGGTAACTATCCAGAAGCAGAGTGGCCGGACGTGGCCAACAGTACAAGCACTGTATGGTTAGCCTACACGGGAGGGACTAAGGCCAAGAAAACTTAGGGATGATGGATGTGTCCTCTATTTAACTGTGGCAATGGTTTTATGGGTATAAAAATGTGTTAAAATCTATCAAACTGTACATTTTTAATATGTGCAGCTTAATGTATATCAACTAAGTATCAATAAAGCTATAAAAAGAAAAAGTGAGTAGTCCTAGAACAAAGTAACTTCTCAAGCGTGTCACATTACTGGGTAGCTGCCCTTTGCGCCTCAGGTGGTTTCTACAAGCTGTTGGAATCCACATCCACAGAAGACATTTTACATAAGCAGAGGCTGCACTCCAGGTGTAACGTCTGCCGACTAACACTTACTGAAAAGCTACCATGTACTGAGCATCACAGGCACCAGGGACGAGGAGGGAATGTGAAGGGCAATATGGAATATCAAAAAGTGTTTTAAGTAAAAAGCAGACCTCAAAAACAAGACGTGTTGGCGCACACCTGTAATCATAGCACTAGGGAGGCTGAGGCAGGAGGATTGCTGCAAGTTCAAGGCCAGCTTGAACTACACAGTGAGTTCAAGGGCAGCCTGACCTATGCAGCCAGACCCTGTCTCAAAAAACAAAGCAAACAAAAAATTGTGAATGTCTAATTTTATTTGTAAAGGCAGGAGTCTGTAAAATAGCATAGAACCATCTTTAAAAAGACAGCATGTGTTGTGGTCAGGGCTTTACAAGGGAACAGATTTAATACAGGACACAATTTATAGGATTATTTTATAATAGTCACCAAAAAGTCAAATGCAGAGGAGTGCAAGAGATTAGCCACACACTAGAGACCCAAAGAACCCAGCCAAGGCCTGGATCCCACGGCAATGTCCTGCACAAGTCCAGCCCAAGCCCTAGAGTCCGAGGCCGTGTCCTCCATGAGTCCAGCCGGAGGCCCAAGGCCCAAGGCAATGTCTCACGCTTGTCCATATCAAGGATCTGCACCCAGAAGGCCCAAAGGCCAGTGGTGGGAGCCAGAAAACCTACTCCAGGGTGAAGGATTTATGCCACAGGCTGAGGGATCCACACTGGAGCCAGGAAGTGATCCTCACGGTGAAGATCAGAGATCCCCTGACAGAAGAGCAGCCACTCCCAGCCACAGCGAGGCTCCGAGCTCCTCCTCTGAGAACAGTCAAGTTCGCATCAGGAAAACCATCTGCAGCAAGCTTCTCCTAGAAAATCAACAGCCATCGATCTTCCCCTCCAGTCACTTTTCATGCCATTGGCAACAGTCCTCAGGTGGATCCTCCGCGCCCAGACACTGATTCAGTTCAGCTGGGCGTTCCAAAATGACTGTTAGTTAATCCACCACAGCATGAGATGCAGGTTACACGCTACTACTTTTTGTCAGTCATTTTTAATCTGCACAGCTAGACTTCCAGGAAGATGGTGGAGTGGTGAGCAGCAGAGAAAGAGCCTCTCTGAGATTTGGTGTCCTGACACTGGAACATAGGAGGGTAAGAAGGAGGGAAGTGGGTCCTCAGGATCCAGAAAGGATCTGAAGCGAGCATTGAAATCCACGGGGAGAGTAAAGGCAGAGACTTCAATGAAGAGGGAGGTGCAAGCAGCAATTTCTCCCAGAGCCTGGACTCAGGGCTTGGGAAGGGCGGGTCAAACCTGCAGATGCAGGGTGACTACTAGCGACCCCAGAGGCCTCCTCAGAGAAATGCACCAGTGGAACGGAGGTGGACAAGGCACACTGCAGTGGCTGGTGAGTTATTCGGGCTCAGAGCTCACCTAGGAGAGGGCCATTGGCCGATAGCCATCTTGGAGAGGGGCCAACTAAGCTCGCAACTCAGAACAGCTACAGGCCAACTCTATCTAGTGGCTCTTGGTGTCTTGGTGAAGATGGCCAGTTCAAGTCAGCAGGAGGCACATAGACTATTGCAGGCTCAAAAAATCCAGGTCCACCTTCAGAGCCAGAAAAAAGCCTGAACTTCAGTGGAACTAAAGGTATAGGACAGCTGAGATTATCCAGCAATCACTGAAAAGCTACAGCGAGCTTGCTGGGATGAATCAATTTGGCTCTGGACTCTGTCTGCCCATGTTGTCTACCACTGACAGCAGAGACACACCTAGAATTGGACTTTTTTTTTCTTCTTTTCTGGTTCTTGTGTTTTCTTTTTTTCTTGATTTTAAAATTTGAAGGATAATCCCCCAACTCAGAATCCAATACCTGGCCACACTGTCGAATACTGTGAGCGTAGAATTAAAACATTTTCAGATACACAAGATCTCAAAAGAGAACACTCTTGGCTTGCTCTCAGAAAGGAGAAAGGGGGGGGGTGCCACCTTCCATGCAAGCACAAGGTCCTGAATTCGATTCCCAGTACCAAAAAAAAAAAATCAGAAAGGAAAGGTGTGGGCTGGGAATTTAGCTCAGTGGTTCTGCCGCCTGCCTCACAAACACAAGGACCTGAGTTTGATGCCCGGTACCAAAAAAAAAAAAAAGAAAGGAAAGGTGTGTTTCAGCAAAAGAAGGGAAGAGGCCTCAACAGAGGCCTGAAATGTAAAACAGAGGATGAAAGGAATTCTCATGCCAGTGGTGGACAGAAGCACCAGACAATGGCCACAAGGCAGCTACATAAACATCCCAGACTGAAGCAGGGGACAGAGGGCGCCTGTAGCAGAGACTCAGAAGAAAAAGCAGCTTAGAGTGCCAGCATGCCTGCAAGGAGGTCTGCAGCGCTGTCAGGGAGATGAAAGATTAATCAGTCTATTTTAAAGTCAAGCAAACAAAATGCACCAAGGCCCTTCGTATTTTCAGAAAAAATAAATGCTTTTATAAGGAAAAATAATTATGATACACTATGTGATTTCATTTGAACCACACCTACATAACCATAACACTGTGAATACAGAGTATCTTCCTATGATTATATCAGAGGAGAGGAAAAGAGAGTGATAAAAGCTATCTTCTGAGGAAGTCATCAGATAACCGAAACTAAAGCCAGGAAACAGCAGAACCCTGCCACCTGCAAATGTGAAATAAGCAAGGCATGGTGCCACATGTCTGTCATCCTAGCACTCTGGGAGGCTGAGGCAGGAGAATGGCAAGTTCAAGCCCAGCTTGGACCACTGAGCAAGACTTTGTTTCAAAGTTAAAAAAAAAAAAAAAAAAGCTGGAAATGTAGCTCGGTGTGAGGGCCCTGGGTTGAATCACAAGGCTTCTGGTATTTTATTCCCTATTCTTTTGATGAAGATGGTGGCACCTGCCTGGACAACCTGAGAGGACTGTTTCAGCAACCATGGAGGTACAAGCAGACAAGAAAACAAGAACAAGCCAGGAAATCCCATCTCTCACAGGGAAACTGCTATTATTCTTAGCCAATGAGCAGACACAATGTCTACGTGTACCTTCTTGGAGGAACAAGAAAAGGCAGGAGGGCGGATTCCTTAGTTAGTCTATGAATAAAGCTATGAATAAAGCAGGAGTCGCTCCATGGGGACAGGAAGGTGTGTGTGTGTGGCTCCTGGGAAGCCAGGCCTCCCCACCTCCCTAGAGCTTGGGAATGTGAGTGGTTAGGGTGTGGCAATCCAGGTATCCGCTCAGAAGGGTCACTCCAATGCACCTGTTGACCCAGCTGCCTTACACAGATGGGTAACTGGGGGCTCTGGGTCGCGCAGCCAGGGTCCAACTCCAGGTCGTGTTCTGCCTTAGTGTGACAG